GCATACAGGTTGAAAAGGTATGGAGACAGGACACATCCCTGGAGTACGCCCTTCCCAATTTTGAACCATGCAGTGTTTCCTTGCTCTGTTCTGATGACTGCCTTATTTTTATTTTTCAGATTTCTTATAGGATTATAGATTTCCTTCAGATTTCAGATTACTTCAGAATTTTTAATACTTTACACAGTTGATATGTAGGGTTTATCTCTATTTTGTATATGTCAGTGCATGAATTATGTAATACATCATGTGTGTACTTGCTGTCACCTGCTGCCCCAAGTCATGGTGACTCTTTGTGCAGGGCGATAGAACTGTTGTCACCAATCCAGTTCTTTTTTTACTTTCCAAAAGGAAATTCCTTTGGGAAGGGATTTTTAAAATTTTTATTGAGTAGAAATTGGTGAAACAAATAAGTTTTCCATTTACTCATTCAGACAGTCACCTTTTCCCACACCCTCCTTAAAATCTTAATTTCTATTACTCTTTCAATCGTATTTTTACCTGACTTCTGAGCTTGATGTTTTGCCAAGTGCTGCTCTTTTGACCTTATATGGCTGTTATACTAAGGAGTGAGGTCCTCACAGGTTTTACTAGGCCTATGGTTTGACTGAGACTTGAGTCACCTATATGAGTTTGAGAGTTTATTATTATTATTATTTAATACTATTGTTATTATTATTAAAAGAAAAATTTATTAAATGCTATCCAAGTAGCAGACAGCAAATCTTCTTAAGAGTGAGAAAGACATTGGCCTCAGAGCCGAGTTCCAGTATTTATGGAGTCTTCTTCCTAACCATGACTTTCCTATCATTCGTTTTCATGTAAAGCAGCCATACATGAGTCCTCCAGAACTAACTGGTGAGTACTGAGCTGACTCTGAAATCCTGTGGCCAATTCAAACAGCCAGTTCACAGAAATAAGTTTTGTTCCGATCTGATCCATAGGGTTTTCAATGGCTGATTTTCAGAAGTAAATTGCCAAACCTTTCTTCCTAACACAACATCATTGCAATGCTTAAATTAAGAGTTTTCAACTTCAATATTTAAGGAGATCTGGTTTTGAGTGGTTAAAATGTTTGGTTGCTAGCAGAAAGGTAAGCAGTTCAACTGTGTCAGTTATATGTAAGAGAAAGGTGTGGCCATTTGCTTCTGTACAGAGTTACCACTTTGGAAACCCTATGAGGCAATTCTACACCATCCTATGGGGTCACTGAGAGTCAGAATCAGCTCAACAGCAGTGGGTTTCAACTTCAGCATTACTGATATGTTGAGTTAGATGTGTTGGACTGTCCTGCACATTGTAAGATATTAACAGCAATTCTCTAGGTCTTATGAAATGAAATGTATCCTAGGATGCAAAGTGGCCTAGTTTAGAGCCTGTGTTATACTTTAATTTACTCCTCCCCTTGTCCTAAAAACAGAGCTTAATTTAGTAAAGATTTTAGAAAGAATTTATACTTCCATGTTTTTATTTAAAAACTCAAAAAGTACAAGTGTATTTTTAATATATATCTTTTATGTGAAAGTTTACAAATCATATCTGATTTTTGTACAATCATTTGTAGACATTTTGTTTTATTTATAACCTTAGTCATAACTGATCAATATCATTAATAAATTACAATGTCTAACCAACCCTTTCGAGACCACTGGCTGAGTGGGTAAGAAGTAATACTGTCAGGGAGGTCTGGTGACCCAGTGGCAAAAAGCTGCACTGTAATCCCAGAGGCATGTGGTTTGAATCCACCAGATGCTCGGCTGGAGAAGAGAGGTCAATCTCCTCCTGTACCAGTCAGGTCAGATTTCAAGATACACACACAAAAAATAATAACTTTTTTTAATTTGTAAAAAAAATAATCTTTTTTACAAATATTGTACTGTTAACCCAAAATTGGCAGTTCAAATCCTCCAGCAACTCCTCATGAAAAAGATAGGCAGTCTCCTTCCATGCAATTTACAGCCTCTGAAAACCCACTAAAGTGTCAGCTGTAAGTCAGTTCTCACTCAACTATAATGAGTTGGTTTTTGTTTCGAATCGATTGTCTATTGCTTTGGGGTTGAAATCAGAAGCAATTCATTGAATTCCCTTTGAATGAAATCACCCAATAATAACATGCAACATCAGTAAAGGTTGACTTGTTCAGTCTTTTCAACAATACCAGCAAGAAAAGCACAGTAGAAAGATGTTTAATAACTTATCCAAAGCAATGTGGTTTTTAAATAAAGTAGACATGCACCAAACTAAGAGCTCTAATCAAAAAGCCTGCATCTTGACCCTGACACTTTACAACTTGGCAGATGCAGTCATTCAGGACCTCAGTGTCAGGTGCACCTTCAAATGAGAAGGTAGACATTAATTTTGTCTATTGGTCCTGTTGTTGCTATTATTGTTTCCTTGAGGTTGAGGTATCATCCATATTGAAGTGTGTGACAATAAGGGCACTGTAAATGTTTGATACTTTGGACAGGGAAATTCAGCAAAAGATTTGAAGAATTCCTAAACAACATGGAAAGTTAAATCTCACAACTTTACTAACATCTCCCTGCTCAAAAATAATGCCATGTGTTTATTCTAGGCTCCTAAAAACCCAAGTGTACTATCCATATTTCATAAACAAGATTATTATCTCCAAAATTAAAAACAGGACACATTTACCATAGGAGTTTCAGCCTGGTACACTCATTTTCATACTGCCATATTGTGTGGAAAAAATATTGGATAACTGGATGGGACACTTTGAGTTGCTAAACCTAAAATTAATACATGTATACTCAAAAAGATTTTCTGTTAATTAGCTTTCAGGATCACAGATGCAAACGTTTTTTATAGATAATTATACAGGCAGCACCATAAATACAGGTGCTAATGTTTCTGTTAGTTTTACAGGATATAATTAGTATCTTCCAACTACAAAATTTTCATCCATTTATATAACATGTACAATGTTTACATTCTGTGTCATGCTTATTTTTGTGATATTTTGGTCTAAAATATGAACAGCAAGGGAAATTTCTTAGTCCAATGGATCAGACATTTTCACTAAATGACAGTAGATGTTTCTCTGGTCTGGACAATTGTTAACCATCAATAAATGTAATTTTATTTTTAATGGAAATTTTTTTAATCAAATGTTATTGGGGAAAGGAGGATATACAACTTAGTTGAAAAAAATCATCCATCTAATCACCTCATTATCTCTTTCCATGTTGTGACTATCCTTAAATAAGGGGAAATAAACGGGTTTTCAGAGATGTTAAAACAATAAAAAGGGGAAAGTAAGTGCTTACTCATGCCAAAAAAAAAGTGTTTTTTCCTTAAAAAGAAAGTAAGCGTATTAATTTTTTAATAAAAAATAGTTATGTCATTTGCTCTGTCCACCCTTAGCAATGGCATCTAATGAGTGATTTGCAGTTCATACACTCCAAGCACAGTGAAAGACCTAAACCAATACTTTATCTTTACTCTTTTTGGAACAACAAATAGGATTTTCTGGCGGCGGCAGGTGCACTTGACGGCAGGAATCCGGCCCAGCACTATTACCAGCTCCTTCCCACAACTTATGTCTAATGTGGATGCAGCTTATGAAGTGGCTGAGAGGGGCGTCGCTTACTTCTTCAAAGGTACTTGGTCACACTATGTTCTTGTGTACAGTCGAGTCAGAACCAACCCAGAGCTGACTCTCCTGAGGGTTTTCAGAGGCAGTAAATTGCACAGGAGGAGACTGCCCATCCTTTTCCCTCGGAGGAGATAGCGGCCTCGAACCGCGTGCCTTCTGGATTACAGCATAGTTTCTTGTCTCTAGGTCACCAGAGCTCCCTTGCTCACACTGTACAGCACTCTAAATGCTTGTTCAGTGATAAAAGACTGTGTTTCCATTGCTCCTTCTTCTCAGGTTGGCTACAAATATGTATTGTAACAATGGCATGAATGGCAATGACTCAGCTGTGAGAGCCACACTTTGTGAGAGTCTTGTATGGCACTATGCTGGTAAGGGGTAGTGCCCAAGGAGTTAGAAACATAGTTCCTATCTTCCAGGAGCTTTGCTGGCATATTCATGACATTGTCTACAAAGAACTTCTAATTAACAATCACCCACACGTTCTTCCTTACTAAACACCGTGCAGGCAGCTGGGACTGAAGGGAGACACACTGATTTCAAGTTTTGGCCCAGACCTCTATTATTTGAATGACTTTTAAAAGTTACCTACTGTCTCTGGGCCTCAGTTTCTTCCTTTGTAGAGAGATTGCAGTTATGTCAACTTTGAAGATGTGATAATAGCCAGCCGATAGAATTATCCAATTAATGGTGACTATAATTTTTTGCTCTCATGAAAACAAATATTAGTCTATTTTACTGATTTCAATAGTTATAGGATTTTTCTCTCCTATTGAGTCAGGGAATTCTGGTGGCCCGGTTATAGGGAGCTGTGCTGCCAGCACAGTGCCACATAGTTCAAATCCACCAGCCACTGGTTGAAGATGAGAAATCTCCTCTCGTGTGATTTACAGTTTCTGAAAGCTGACTGGAAGGTCAGGTATAAATCAATTTCAATGCAATGGTAAACAGCAAAATCTTTTCCTTATTTTCTTGGTGATAAAGAATAAAGAAAAACTGTAGAATTGAGTTAAAATCATAGCATGTAATGTTATTTTTCCCTTTTCTCTCATAGATATATGAGATAGAAATAAGAATAGAAATTGAAAGAATCTTGAAAAATCAATGCATTTTTAAGAGGACATTTTATCAATATTATTGTTTCTGAGACATCTTTTTATCTCCAAAATTTTGGGAAATATTGAAATATTTTATTGCATTGATTTCTTATAGGGTTGTATCTTCTGCTGCCAATGACAAATGTCCCTTAGCTTTATTTGTGACCTTGCACAGGCATCTTTAAAAATGAGATACATTACTTATTGGTACATTGTTGTTGTTGTTATGTGCCATCAAGTCAGAACCAACTCATGGCTGACCTTCTACTGTGTTTTCAAAGGTGGTAAGTTGCACTGTCCATCTTTCTCCTGCAGAGTATCTAGTGGATTAGGTTGGCAGTACACCTTCTTATTCACAAGCCACCAGAGCTCCCTTTTTGGTAGAAAATGTTAATAAACTTCAATTTCTGTTTCCAGGTCCCCACTACTGGGTAACAAGAGGATTCCAAATGCAAGGCCCTCCTCGAACTATTTATGACTTCGGGTTTCCTAGGTATGTACAGCGAATAGATGCTGCCGTCTACCTCAAAGAGCCTCAGAAGACTCTCTTCTTCGTAGGAGATGAATACTACAGGTAAAGTTTCCCTCCTTTGTCTGTTTTATTGTTAAAATGTATAGAACAAGAGAAAAACAATCCTTTGCAAAAAAATAGTACAAAGGCAGTGTAAGTTTATTTATTCTTTGAGGTCATTTGGGTGTCATGTATAAAACAGTTGACACTGTCTTCGAGATTCTGAACCATCCAGATGCAAAGTGAAGCATTCATTCCATAATCCCATTTTTTGGTCTTCATATCCCCAAACATCCTTGGTCTGTCAACATACTCACTAACTGGACCACTAGTGGCTTCAAAGAGTGAATGTAGTATCCCTGTAGCATAGAGGTATTCACTGGGATATCTATGGGGAAGTGAGCTTTACTGAGATGTGTGTACTAATGTCTCCTGGGGTACTCTATGATTTGTGCAAAATGAGAGTGGTCAAAACTTTGGCACCTTTTTGAGGAAAGTTCTGTAAAGGAAAGCCTTTTGCTAAGCCCTTCTGTCTAACCTACAAGAAGAAGACTTTATCCAAAGGAAATGACATGTCATTTCGATAGCTGTCTACCGATGTAGAGAAAAACATGTGAAACTGTTCACTACAGATTAGTCAATAAGCACAAGTAAACTTTAGTTAATCTTGCTTACTGAGTAATCTGTCCTTATCATAGATTTTAAATTTGAAAACAGACTTGATTTTGTAGGAAGATGCTGTGAGGTTGAGACAGAGACATATGGCAAGCATACTTAGAAGCAGAATCTTTGATGTGATAATGAAAGGTGAAATTGTTCAGCACACCTTAGTAAGTAAATTTATAATTACCTTACTCATTGGGTAATCCAACACTCTATCCATCCTTGGCTGATCTATGCTGAATAATGAACACAGCCCTTGACTTTGAACTCTGTTCAAAGACCAGTTCATTTGTATATTTCCCCATGATAATCTCAGTTCTCTTCCCTGACTATTTCTTCTGGCCTCAAAAGAGAGAAGCAAAAGCAGATTCTAAACAAGTTATTATGCTGTCTTCATTCCATGACAGGGCCTAGTTAAAAGCAATAAAAACCAACTTGGGCTCAAGAACTCTTACTCTATTTCATACTGTCATGTTTTAAGCCATTTGTGTGGCATCAAAGAATCTACACATAAAGGTTTATCATCTTCTTGCACTTGACTAATATTTAACTGCTCCAATTTGGAGACAAGACAGTAATATCACTAGAGCACCAGCACATTTCAAAAACAAAATTTATTTTATTTTTTAAGTTTCTATTGTTATTATTATTATTATTAATTTCAATGAACATCTACAGAAACTTTGGAATTCCATTCATTCATTGTTACACTTTTCTCCCCACCCCCACCCCCAGTGCGCTCCTCTCCTTGAAAAGCAAAAGACAAACTCCTTCGCTGGTAATTCCAAACAAATGTGAACCCCATGCGTCAACTCTTCTGGGTCACTGAGAGACCCGGTAGCTTTCATGCAATCCCATGAGCTGTGCCTTCCAGATCAATGTTCCTTTTCTATTGTGAAACATGTAATAATTGTATTGAGAATCCACTATATTCTGGGCTGAGTAGGATTCTTCAAAGTCTTTCTCTAATATATTATTTAATATGTTGCTGGAATCACAGCACTGATGTAGAAGAAGGTAGGTATTGAAACAAGCAATCCCATTGGGGCTTTCAGAAAACAGGATTGAGAAAAACATTCAGGAGAATATGTATGAAAGTGTGAAAGTGTTTGTTTCATCATAATTATAATTACATATTCCGTTTCTTTTTCAACAACTGTTCATAATCTGATTCTCACCAGGGAGGTACAGAGGAAATAGCTCACTCTTCCACTTTCTCCCTTTATCACCTCATCTTTGGACTAACTTCACTGCCTGCCAGAGCCTGCAGTAAAGCATGTTCCTATAACCAGGCAGGAATGAGATTTAACAACTGACACAGGAGTTTTGATGAGGCAGAAGTTTAAAAGTCTTTGTGACTATAAGATTTGGGGAGAAGGAATCCCTCTGATATGAAGGATCCCCTAGTTGCTACAAAGGCCACTTTGCAACTGGGTCACTGTGAAAGTCTACTTTTCAAAATTCCTCAACAATCTGTTCTTGTTGTTGTTCTTGTTGTTGTTGCTAAGTGCCATCCACACAATCTCCACCACACTCAAGCCCACTGTGCCAATCCATCTTATTGAGGGTCTTTCTTTCTCTCACTGCCTCTTTACTTGAAAACTTGACATCTCTCTTTACCTGCCATGTGTAACATTCTGTATCTGCAATATGTAGCAGTGTCTCACACAAGTCAGTCCATTGTGTCATGCCAACTCTATCTCATAGAGACTGTCAAGTACAGAGTAGAGCTTCCTAGGATTCCATAGGATTTTTAAAGCTATATATCTATTTGCCACATATTTCTCCCATCAAGCTGCTAGTGAATTTAAAACTATATTTTGCTTAGGAGCTGAGCACCTAATTACTATAATACCAGAATACTTGACCTATGTATTTCATTTTGGCCTTATTTCAATCTACTTCATCTTCTTGTTATGCCATCGAGTTGAGTATGACTCATAGCAACACTATGAACAACAGATCTGAACCCTATGCTATCCTATGCGATCCTCACAATCTCTGACACTCTTAAACTCATTACTACAGTCACTGTGTCAATCCATCTGGTTGAGAGCCTACTCACTTTGGCAGCCCCTCCCTCTTCCCAAGCATAAAATCCCTCTCCAATGAATAACTTCTCCTTGCAACATTTCCAAAGTATGTGAGGCAAAATTTTCTAGTCTTTGCTTCTAAGGAACGCTCTGTTTGCACCTTCTCCAAGACATACCTATTAGTTCTTTTCAACAGTCAGTGATATAGTCTTAGCAATCTAGAGAAAACAAATTTTAAGAAGAGTAGCCTGAACATTAACGCAAGTATTAATGAGCCCATTTTTTTAGAAAGAAAAGGAATCCATGTTAGACATTTATTAACATTAACCTTCTCAGTTATTGAGAACATTGTCTGCAATAATGCACATAGACCCTTAACATTGTACCTGTGCAAAGCGAAAGAGACACACAACAAACAAAAAACTCCCAAACTCATAGCTATCAAATATGAGTTGCAATAGTCCGAAAGAGAGAGTACACTTTCCCCATATTGTTTGAAAAGCTGAATGTCCTTATAGAGGCAGACTGCCTCAGCTTTCTCTGGTGGAGCAAGTCGTGAGTTCAAGCTACAGACCTTTTGGTTAACCATTATCCTGCTAGCGCTTGTTGGCACATAGCAGGCACTCAAAACGAGTAACTGTTTGTGGGAGGAGAGGAAGAGTAGTTCTTAGGTGAGAATAGAAACTGATGTGGTAATTCACAAGTAATTCTTTAAAATGTGTTCATTAACAAGGAAATCCTTAAACCTCAATATTACTTTAAATGCCCACCCACTCTAAGAGCTAGGTTGAATTGGAATTTCTTTTTAAATACAGGAGAGTCTTTACATTGGCTGAAAGTTTTGGTTTAGGCAAACCATACATACATCATTCGGCAGTACTACTCTTCAACTCTATGTACTCCAACACACACACTTGGTTTGTACTCTAAGAAATAAGCTGCAATTCTGACACAATAGCTTGAAAGTTCAGGAAAAGATATTCAATCGGGATGACGAATAAAGCCTTTTTATGTTCTACACTTTACAGTTAGCAGGGTTTTGTGGGTGTGATTTCTTAATGCTGTGTGAAGACTTGTATTGGTTAAATTCTTCAATTAGCTGTCAGTAACAGAGTACTAAAATCTAACTGTGGTTTAATCATACAAGCATTTGTCTTTCTCATAAACAAATCTGATAAACAAAAAATCTGATTTGGGTTGGTGACCACTGGAGTCTGTAGTCACTGTGGACCCACGTTCCTCTGGATACTTTGCTCCACTATTCTTAATACTAGGGGCTCTGGGGGTGCAGTGTGTTACATGTTGCTGCTAACCAAAAGCTCAGCAATTTGAACACTAGCTGTTCTGCAAGAGAAAGATGCGGCATCTCTTCCCACAGAAACCCATTGGAGTGTCCCTGTGAGCCTAAATTGACTCAGTGGCAGTGGGTTTATTATTCTTAATACTAATATTGTTAATGGCTTTCCTTCTCATATGCCATGTTTTGAGGTAGTCGATGGAGCTTCAGTCCTAACATTTTTTATCCTAAGCAGGAGGAAGGAACATGAGAGAAAAGGAGGCAAGTGAAGTTTTATAAGTAAGCACATGGTGACATTCAGTAATAAGATCTATGTTGTTGATTGCCATCGAGTCGAGCACAACTCATAGTGACCCTATGAACAAAAGGCCTGAAGCCTTTCTATAACTGTCATCATTTATAAAACCTTATAGAGTTTCCAGGGGCATTTTGTTTAGGAAGTGATTGCTACTTCTGCTTCCAAATATGGATTATAATTAATAATAACTAATAATTTAATTCACAAGCCCCATATTATAGACTTTTAATTTCACCATATTTGACATCCACCGACAGTCTATTGAATCTTATATCCTTGTTCATTTTCAAATTCTTGCCTAAACTCCATGCTGGTTCAACTTAGGACACAAATACTATGCTAAGAGAAAATTTGTCTCTGAATATGTTTGTTGCTGGAAAAATTCCTCATGAACCTCTAGACTTTGGCCCCAGTTTCAGTGAATGAACTGCTCTAGGGAAATTCCTAATGAAGTTCCTCTCCTGACATTCAGTTTGTTTGGGATTTACCTACTTTCAGAAGGCCCGACGGTGAGAACCAACATGTCATTATAGCAGTAACTCACAGGAGCAACCACATAACCACAGGTGAAACTCAGAAGAGGGCCTCTACCAAGAAGTTGCTCTTACATTCTATATTGGTGGATAATATATTGGTGAAACTTTGCTTTGGCTGCTTCTCTACTCATCTATTTACTTTTCCTCCTTGTTTTACTCTTTCTAGAAAGCCCTCAGTATTCTGCCAGTGTTTCTTCCTCTACATTACTTACACTACTTATGGTCAATTTCCCCCT